GCAGATCAGCTGTGCCGGATGGGTTGTTCAACTGTTTTCCTCTGGGTGTTAAGGAAGAGGGCCAGCTTTCGCAGCTGTGTTGCGCATACGGAAAGTGTCATATGATAAATCTTTCTTTTCGCAACGTTGACCGGGGCAGTATCATCTGGGTGCTCCAGGTCAGCAAGATATCTAGCCAAATATCTTCAATTTCGCCTTCCCTAGAATGAAGCGCTATTTAAGAGAAGAAAATTGAATAGCAGAGGCAAAAGCACGTATCCCTGGCGAACTCCACGATTGATAGGAAACCGCTTTGTTAACCTTCCTTCAACTTTGATAGAAGGCAGGTTCCAGCATAGGTTTCTTTTAAAACAGAGTGCCTGGTTCATTTCCGCTCGAGAGTAATGTTTGTCTTGTTCATGAATTCCCTTGTGCAAGGTATTTACCACACACTGCTTCAGACTGGGATTGCTCAGTAGGTAGGGCGTCGAACTCAGAATCGATAGATCCCGAGTTCAAGCCTCGGTTGGGATATCTGGCCCATTTTGCTTCCAAGTTTGATAGATGATCAGACTGTGGAAAGGAAATAGGCGACTACTTGCTACGCTTACTACATGCCTCTAGACTCTGCTTTTAAAATCTCCCGTTAGACATCTGCCTTGTGGCATAAGAGTGGAGGTCAGCAGCACATAAACAGTTTCCGAAAAGAACGGCTCCAAAATGTCCCAATCGTCGAAGTGAAGGAAGTTGTTGTTTTCATGGTTAACTTCGGTATCAGGGTCAAGGACAGAGTACCCGGATTAATTTAGTCTCGGAAGGTGAAGGAAGACCAACATTCCAACGGTGACAAAGTTTCTTTTCTTTTCCTTCCAAGATAGAAACAATTTGCTTAGGTATCACATAGTATTTCAAGATTTTCCACATCGTCAGACGATGTACTGAATCAAATATAGCCTTACAGTTGAGGTTTCTGTCGAACCAAGGCTAATGAAATCGTCGGCATTCCTCAGTGACACACCAGCTGATGACGTCCAGCTTGTTTACTGCGTAGCCCTATGGCGTAAATGACTAATAAAATTGCTCGTGTAAACTGCTGGGGGCGCAACGTTTATACTAAGGTGTTGGCCAGCTTGTTCTAAGTCGTTTGTATATGTTCATCTTGGTGATTTTCCGGACGCTCGCTGTATTAAATTTGACTCATTTTGATCAGAGTCCTTCCTTTTCACATCTTTATTCGCCTATCTGGTATTCGCTAGTGTTAGGCACCGCGAAAACTTTGAGGTCTACTGAGATCTAGGTAACTAAACCATATTTGACGTCATTGGTGTTAGTGATCGTATCAAACCTGGTAATTTTGTATCCTGTCGCTTTGCGACCGTTTTCGATATGCTTGTTTTGCCGGATGATATGTCAGTCCTGTTTTCTTTTAATTTCCTAGATAAGTAGTCGCATTTTGCGTGGGAGATGCCTTCCGTTGGACATTCAGCTGGAAAATGCATTGAGCGGCATACGGTTTCACTTCTTTGGCCCTAATAAGAATCGTTGGATTTTTTGGCCTTCTTCTGTGGCCTTCATAAGGACAGTTGGGTGGTAAATTTACATGTTTAGTCTTAAGAAGAACCCCTAGGTCTGTATCTAGTTAAGCTGAGAGATTGGTTGCGCAACTTTCGGTTGCAAGGAGATAATGTTCGTTGTATTGTTAAACTTTGGCGCACTTTTTCAATACGTATCAGGAGTATTATGTAAGGGTTGTTGCCTTGTTTTTGTTTTCACATAAAAGCTTAAAATGAATTCCGATGTGGTCTGTTGTCGACGAAATGAAAACAGCTGATCAGAAGGACTGAGTCCCGCTAACGATGTTTATTCCCAAACAAAGTAAAGAATTATAATCGTGTCTATCAGTGAGACGGAACGCAATGTCATCCATCATTGATGCTGTCATTTACGTTTCTACTTTTAATGTGATTAGCTCGTTATGACGTACAAGCGATGTTAAATCTTGTAGGACTTCACTCAGTTTTGTACACAAAGTATTAGTTCTTCATTTTCAAACACTTTCCTCCCTTCCCGTTCGTAACTTACTTTTAAGAGCAGAAGTGACAGGCCTTTGTGAGGAAGAATAGTACTGTTTAGATTTACAATGAGCTTCCAGTTCGAGCACGGCGTGCATTGTTTATTAACTTATTTCTATTTTGTAAGGAATTCACTCTAGTGTGCTTCGGTGCAAGCAGCCGGATAACTGGTAGCATGTCGTTGATCTGCAAAAATTAGGGACAGAACGGCATTTTTGTGAGGTGGAGAGACACTGCAGGTGAGACTTACGTGCTGTACGTCTACAATTCCTCTTGACCTACTTATATTAGCTGATAAAACTTGCATGCAATTAACCTGCAAATTAAAAGTTAAAATTCTTGATTACACTACCGCTTGACGGCCAAACTGAATTTGCCAGAATTCTGAATTTACATTGTCCATTCACTACGTAAAG